TAGGAGGGTTCTTTTCCTCTACTGCTCTAAAAAAGGTTCCCACACAGTTGCCCTTAGATAACTTCTTAGGTTATGTAGACAAGTTTGTTATTTGGACAGGTACTTGTCTGCCCTTTTTCGTTTGTACTAAAGAATTGGCATTTACGATGTCCTCTTGACTGCTTATTTCCAATTCTATAATCCCTATCTCTTCTTTTTGTTTTATTCTAGCTATTCTTGCTGCAGCAATTATTCTGTTCTCGGAGGAAGGTTACAATCTGCCAACAATACTACTACTCTGGCTTGTTCTCTAGGATTGTTTTTTGTCGAAGTGGTAGCATTAGATTTGGAAAGCTTGGGGTTTGGACTAGCAGTAGGCTGTATAAATGAGCCTCAGCAATTTCATTTTCCTCTTTCTTGAACTGATTTTGTAGCCTTTCAGAAGTCAATTTCCTCTCCTCCTAGAAGTATTAATTTTTCTCTTGCTAAACATTCTCTTGTGGGTAGCCTCAGATAGGACAGTATTGTACCTTTCTCTTGGTCAGATTTCAGGTTGTTAAGCTTGCCCACTCATCTAAGGATAACAGGGTTTGTGTTTAAACCCTACAGGGTCAGAACTTTGTGTGTCAGGTCTAGTGGAGGAGGTGAGAGGGGTTGTCGGTAAGGTGTTGGTGATACATGAGTAAAGGATGCCATTCAACAATCAAACAAAACATTTATTGAATAACAACTTAGATAACAGATATGGGGAATACAGATTTCTAACATTGAGATCCTAGCAACCGTATACGTGGGGTTGTGTGTGTGTGCATGCCTGAGAGAGAGTTTACATTATTTATTATCATACCTCTAAAGTTGGTTGTACAGAGCAACATAGCTTAGGTTGAGAGAGATTCTTCTGGAGCTGTCCGTGGGTTGGGTTGTAAGGTTGAACAGATCTTCCGAATCCATGAGTGGTTTGAAATTCGTTCGGCCTTGTCTTGGTGACCACACTCTCGGAGAAAACAATCTTTTCTTTCTTTCTTTTCCGTCCTTGACTCCCCTTTTTCCCAGGGTTCAATCTATTTGTCTCCTAGATCATGTTAGCTTCTTTCACCAATCGTGAATGTTTCCCTTATTTTCTCGTGACACATTCTATGTGTCCTTTGGAGAAGGAAATGATTCAGGGGGAAGAAAATGTGATCATTCCTCGGTTGTAAGATGAACAAACTTTTGAAAGAAGAAAAGAAATGGAGAAAAAAAAATTTTTCCCTAATTTTGTTAGGTTCAACCGTCAAATCACATTGGCCTTTCTAAATCGCACTTGTTCTAAAAGAGCAAGTTCAATTTTTACAATGGAATTTACTCTCTCTGTAACGATTATAACAAATTTTTTTTCGCAACAATTAAATAATTTTATAATTTAAAAAAAATGTTTTAAATTATATTAATTAAATATTATAATATAAGTATATGTCTTCGGTTGTGAACCATGTGGAAGTACTCTCTCTTCCATTTGCTGTGCAGTTGATTGGTTGATTGATGATCTTGTGGTCCTGGATACAAGGATAACTGTTTAAAATTTGTGGAAATAAGTGTTCATTAGAATTCCTTTGTTTGTAGGTGTAGGTTGGTTCATTGGATGATGATACCATATTGGATCTATGGCCATTGGAGAATTCTTAGATAGGTTGGGGATACGTGGTGATAAATATTTCCAAAATTGGTTGGATAGTTGTAGAGATTCGTGAGTTAGAAGTTTCTCCAGTCTGGGTGAGGAAGCTGTACTGGTTTATTATTAAAAAAAAAAGCACAAATTTGTATTAATATCAGGTTATTTTGCTTGCAGGTGATCACTTGGTTGGTAATAGAGTATTAGGTTTTGTTTCACACATTGTTGATGTACACTCTCTCTCTCTCTCGGGAATTTAATTCTAATTATTGAGATAGTTAAATATAAACCAAAAAAAATATTTGAAACTTTAAAGGTGTTAATCTAGCCTTTGTATATGTAGTGAGTTGTGGTTTGAAAGGAAATAGATGACTAAATGTTAATAGGTAATAAAGGTATATTTATTAGGAATTAATATTGGATGATACATTCCAAGGTTTAGATAAATATACAATATTAAATGGATTACAAAACATGTATATATAAGAGAAATGGAAGATAATTAGGGGGCTCAGAGTTCTTACAGGCGAGGAGGTTGGTGGCGAGATCTTGGAGTTTGCAGTGGTCGAGTGTGTCCCCTTAGAGATGGAGTTGAAAAGAGTGGAGTTCTAGAGGCATGTGGGGGAGGAATGGCATTTCGCTGTTGATAAAATTGTTCAGTTAGGTTGCTTTCCTCTTGCAAAGTGGTTTCTAGTTGAGTGGGACATAAATGTCCGATGGGAAGAACAAGGGTGGCAGGTGTGGTTCTGTTTTGTCTCTGAGTTCGGGCAAAGATTAAAGCGGCTCAGAGGAAAGCTGTGTTTACTTCCATTCGAAGAAGTGGTAGCGATGGGATATTTGTGTCCCACCATTCATCTGGTTCTATCAACTGTTAACGGATAGAAGATGGGGTTTAATTAGAGGTACTAGATAGGATGAATTTAAAATTATTATGGGCACAAAATGAATAAATGATATCTGCAGATAGTTCTAAAAGAGAATGGAGATGGTGGGTTATTGAGGTTTCCAGTAGGGGGATGTGAGAAGATGACCACTGAAGCGAATAAGAGTTCTTAAGTAAGTAAATGTAGTAGCGGGAGGGGGTGTGGTTAATAAGTAAACTTGTATTGTAAAAGTTGGATTTTCAAGATGCTGTTTAGAGACAAGGAGAAGAAATTGCTGATCATAACAGGTCAAAGTCACTGCCCAAATCTGGGGAATGGGAGTTTCCGTGTGGATGTCAAGGAAAAATAAGGAGGATCGTTGTAGATTTGGGACTTGCAAATGGGCTTGGGTGAAGTGGGAGGAGAGATCCGACAGTTTTTCCTCCCAGGAGCAGTCAAGTTCTACAAAGGGGCATGATAAAGGTTGGAATGAGCAGTTATTTTGGTGTGCCTCTTTATAACCTTCTTGCAATACAGTAGAGCGTCGATTATCCGAATCAATTGGTAACTGGGGTTGTTCGGAAGATTGATGTTTTGGATAACCGATTATGTACGAAAAAATATATTAATTTATCCCATCTTGACATTTTTCTCCGTTGCATGTCTCTTCGCGTTGAATTTTCGTTGATGTTAAGCCTAACGAAGACTATTGTATCGTTAAAAATTATTTTTTTATTTTGTACAAACAAAATAAATATATTGAAAAATATAAAAACAATAAAAAATTATACTTCAGAAGTTAATTTAGTATCAAAAACGTAAAATATTTGAGTAGCCCAAGACATAGCCAAAGATTGCAGAGCCACAGCACTGGCAAAAATTTAAATTTGCCAACTGAAATTCTTTTGGATAATTGACTTTCAGATAATCAATGCTCTACTGTATAGACATATTACACAGAGCATAACAATATCTCAAGAGATGGGGTTACAATGATTCTAAGCTAAATACTACTTAAACCTGTACAAAGTGTCAACGCTAGATTCTCTAGCTATCATGAGATACATTACAAAATTTATATTACCTGGGGATGAGAACCTTTGCTTCTACTGCAGATTTCATCATAGTCTGGATTGGAGACCTTCCTTTAGGTAGGGATTGTTAGTGTCTTCTCAAACAAACAAAGTATGATTCAACATGGCTGTTTAGGGCAACTAGAAAAACAACCCTGAAAGAGATACTGTCTCCCTTTTATACAAATATTCTGGCCAATCGGGCAAGCTCTTGGTGAGGTAATATTAGACTATCTGTCATTATGGCAGGAACTTCAACATTCTTTCCATCAGAGGAAATGTAAAGATGTTGGAAAGATAAAAATTTGCCTTTCCTGCCTTCCCTAAGTTTAACAAAAGAATTTAATCTTTCTATTTAAAACTTTTACATTTAATTTATGTTAAATATAATATTTATGTTTAATTGCCCTTTTTACTGCCCTGTAAATCCATGTTCTCAGAATAATATCTGATATCTGTTTATATTTATATATTAAAATCAAGTTATATTTTCATTTAAATTATTTTTTAAAATTTTCTATCTAATAAGTTTAATCAAACAGATAGAATCTAAGTAACATTAAAAATTTCAAAGTCAAATTGCTAACTAACTTATATTTAATATTAAATCTGTTGTATTTTGTCATCTCTTAAAATTACAAATAATATTTGAGAAAAATTAAAAGAATACATTTTTGCTGATACGGTGGACTTCCATTTATCTAAGGTAGCTTATACCAAGGTTATCTTGGTATTCAAAAATGCAAATAACATGAAATGTTTGGTACAGTATTAATTAAACTGGGTTTTGATGCATTAACTTGTACAATGTAAAGTATTATTTTTAGGTTTGACCTAATTATTGAATGTATTGACTTAAAAGTGTTTTATTGCATAATTTAAATTTCATCCACTGCTATATTTATTTAAGCAGATACTACTACAATTAAAATTTCTTTAATCTTTTTTAAAATTTGTATTGCCATTAGAAGTCATTAGAATAAATTCTTTTTAAAAATTCTGGAGTTTTTTTTAGTATTATTCATTGCCCTGCCAATATTGCAAAAGGAACTATTTTTTACCAGATTCTTTTGTCTTTCTTAACAAAGTATACTTCTACAATTCATCTTGGATAATGTGGAAACTTGATTGAAATGGGTCTTAGTTAAGTGTTTTTAATAGTAGAGAGGATGCTGTAAATTGTTTTAAAAAATTTCTGTGTTACATTGTTTCTAGGAAACATGTAACACAATATACAAATCAATATTTAAAGTATTTAAATATTGAATAATAATCTTTTATTTTCAGAAAATTATCAATATTCTGCATGCAAATGCTATGTAAAAAAAGTTAGAGTTGAGGATATGTTTTATAATTGCATTATATTGTATAATGTTAGTCTCCTAAGATTTAATTGAACTTTTTAAATTTCCTACCTGTTTTTTTCTCCTCTAGAACCTGAAGTTAGTCCCCAGATAGAAATAAGTGAAAAGGAATCTATAGATTTTTCTTTTGAAGATAGTGATCAAATTTATTTTGAAACAACTGAAGAATCATCTCTACCTATTGTAGAAGAAACACTTGATATTGATAGAGTTGATTCATTTGAAGATGCAGAAGAGACTGAAGAAATATTTACACATGTTCCTACTGAACATTATGAAGAATCGACAGAATCTGAACCTTTTTTTGTAGAAACTGAAGACAAAGACACAGAGCCAATAACTGTTAGCAAAGAGGATACTACTGAAAGTCTTTCATCTCCTGTTGAAGAGGCTGTTACAGAAGAATCTACTGAACAGTATCAGTCTGAAATACCTACAGAATATGAAGTATATGAATTTCCATCTTCTGCAGAACCTTTGCATGAGAAGGCAGATATACCAAATGAAAATGATTTTCAGTTTGGTGATGATATAGATAAAATTGAAAGGATAGTAGATAAGGTAAGTATCATATTAAGTTAATTATTTAGTTATTTTTACAGCATGTTTTGACAATTAAAATTATTGTTTTCCTATATACTTAATTGCAATTATTATTAATTAAACATAAATAATAATAATAATTTGTTGATTTGTTTATTAATCTAATATTTTTGAAAATTAATGCTTATTAAAGATTCTGTCAAAAATTAATAAATGTTTAATATCAATTTTATTCTACAGTGAAAACTTTTAAATTGATATATACAATATGTTGTTTATAATAATAATTCTCATCATATAGTGGATTACAAAATGTAGAACAGTTTGTTTAACCATTACATTAAAATGAAATTAATAAATAAATTAAAGAATTTAAATAAAAATAACTATTAATAATTTAATAATAATTTTATTTAACAGCAGAATGTTTAAATTTGGTTTTTATCACTCTGAAAATTACTGTTTTTTTTCTTTGCTTTCTTTTCATTTATTATTTATAAGTTTCACCTTTTTTTCAAGTCTTAAATAAAAATAAGTTAATTAAAATTGACTGCGGGTTTTATATTTTGAGAATAAAACATATATTAATTAATTTCTACATGTCAGTCTTGAGATCTACAAATAGTGGAACAATTATTTGTGTATTATATAATATATTTCCTATTAAAGCATTTTTAATTGGACAACCTCAAAACTGGCTATTTGATTTTGATTATGGTGAATTCTTTTGAATGGAACATAGTTATTCTCATTTTTTGACAATATCTTCAAAAATTATATTGTATATTGAAAATTTATCATGAAGAAAGGATTTAATCAATTAATGTCACTAACTTGATTATAAAATGTTGATTCTAATTTTGAAAGAAAAATTTATATAGGAAATCAACAATAAAAAATGTTCTACTAGAAGTTTATAAAATGGTCTGTCATCTTTATTTAGGTTAAACAGTATCTTCATAACTTGTCTAAAATATAGAATAAATAAATGGAATTATGATTTAGTTCTTTCATTCATGTGGAAATTAAGCATGATTGCAATTATAAGAGCATAATAATTGTCATCTTCATTTACTGATTTGTTTTATTTAAGAAACGATGTATGTGTTTATATGCGTTTTCATAAAAGCCTTCATTTTATGTCAAGTTGTGTAATGCTTTCTCCATTCTATTATTTTCTGTTTACATTTTATCAGATAGGTATATCTTTTGAGGGCTTTAATATTAAATTATTAAATACTTATATTATTAAATTTAATATTAAATTATAATAATATTATAAGTATTTAATATATATTTTAACATATTCTAAATTAATTTGATAATTTAAATCACATTTTACTAAACTTTTGCTAATACTACATAAACACACAACTTTATTACCATCAGTTTGAAAACAATACAAATGCCATGTAATAAGTGAAATTAAAATTTCTTAATTTGCATGATAAAGCATTTAGATTTTAATATATCACTGCTGTAATTTGTTAATGAAAATTATAATAAAAAAAAATTTCTGTTTAAATGTTTTTCTTGAAGATAAATTATTGTGAATTTCTTGAATAATAGTCAGAAATTTATTGCACTGCATTTTCAGGAACCAGAGGAAGATGATATCTATTTTTGGTTTTAATTACTGTTTTATTAGTTACATTATTTTTAACTTCCCTTTTGATTTTGAATAATTTTATACTAATCAAATGCTAAATTATATTTTTGTTTGTGAAATATTTTAAATTTTTATAAAACAAAATTTCCTATAAACTTTTTAAATGCTAATTTATGTATAGAAATAATGGAAACTTTAAGTTTGTTTGTTTATTGGAATGTTTTAATAATAACAATATTTACCTAGAAGATAATTTACCATTTCCAAAGCATGACTCTGATATTTAAGTATTTATTTTTGCTCTGTAAAATATTAACTCTCTTCCTAAATTAAGTGGTTTATTATATGACCGATTATCTAAGGTTTAAAAAAATTCCTTTAAAGTTTGTTCACTTAATGAATTGTAAAAATTTCCAAACAGTAATTTTATTTAAAAAATGTTTAATTTTGATAATGAAATTAACAAATAGCAAAACAATTGATGAAAAATAAGCATATTTTATAAAACCATTTTGTGATTAGATTTTTTTACACATTAATTGAAGAGGTAATCATTATAGTAAGCTGCCAAAATAATATATAATTATTTACAGTTACATTTAACTGCAGGACATTATTTTGACAATGTTCTTCTCAATTGATGATGTCCTATTTATATTGTAGTGTTTGAAAAGTTCCTTATTTAAATATATATTAAATAACTTTGTATTCAGAATAAAAATAATTACTTTTATAAGGAGTGATTTATGACAATGATTTGTAGAATGATATGGCAATTTTAGTCCCATAAACAGATATCTAGAAATGTTCATTGAGGCACTAGAGCTTCTTTTATTGTGTTGATGGCATATGGTAAATTGTCCTAAATACATCGTGTGTGACCACATATGACGTATTTAAGACAACTATAATAACAGCTGTTCTTACTGACATCCCCAATCATTATTGCAGATATTAAAATGCTGCAGTAAGGATTGTCAAACTTAATTGCAAATGCCAGAGGCCTATAGAATCTGATCAAAAGCTCTCTCTCTCTTTCTCTCTGCCTACAATATTGGAAAAAAAATTCATGTCCAAAAAGCAGCAGAATTTGCAAGAGAAATGAGCTAGTTTCCACCAAGTTAAAACCAAATTTGTTAGTACAGGAGAAGTGGCACATATTCCAACAATTTGGATAGCATCTTGGCCAAGATAGCCAAATAAGCAGACCCATTAAGGCATTCTGGTAAGATGTATGGTCTAAGGACATGTTTGTCAACATCTCTGCCCGTGTATTGATCTACTGATGATTGGCTAGGTGTACAACATTTTGATTCACTTTCATCCATACATGGCTGTTGAAGCATTCATCTCTAGTGAATAATGTCTTGTCCATAACAGCATTTGTTGGAAAAATGTAATATCGCTGCTGTCTGGTGTAGCAAGCACTTGCAGAATGCAGTCATGGAAAAAGTCCCTTAACCTTTCATATACAGATGAAAGGGATGAGATTTGGCCTTACACAGACCCACTAAACATGCTGGCTTGTAGATTACTCACATCTGTTGTGATTGCTTAGATTTGGTGCAGGATGTTCATAACTGAAGCCAAGATCCCCTCTTCAAACTGACATCCCTGATCTTGCATGTTACATGCTCTAGCCTCATAGTTTCTTTTAAATGGTGCATAGCAGGAAACATTCTACTGAATAGAATGCCAATGGTTGCAGAAGTGCACACATTACTGGCATTATGCTGCCCTTGCCTTTCTGTATTGAGGTGCTCATCTAGCAGCTCTTCATTGTTGTATGTGTCTATGTTGATAAGTTTTATTGAATTGATAGAACTAGATATTATTCAACACTGCATGGGTAAAGCAAATTATACTCCATATCCTGCATATGGGTAATGCTCACGGCATAGCACCTTGACATAAAATACTTGTCTAGCACCTCAACAGTGCATTTCTGGACACCTGTTTATGGGACCAAAGTTGTTTGTTGTATCATTCTACAGGCATAGGTAAAGTTTGACATCATTCACATGAATCACTCTGTACATTATATTTATGAATGGGAATTTTCTTTAACAATTACCTTAGTAATTTATTTCAAATAAATTATCAATGATTGAAATTATTAAAAGTTAAATTACTGAAAATTAAATTTTAAAAAGAAATTATTATTGTTTTAGTGTGAATAATCTTGAATTATTAGAATTGCATTGCTTCGGATTATTATTATATTGATAATGAAAGTTATACAGTACTTAATTGAATATACTGTATGTAATATATATATTTTTTCTAAGTATAAAGAATAGGTGAACATTATAGTATAAATTTTACTAAGTTTTTTTATAAATTAGGAGAATTATAAACTTACACAATAATCTTATTGAAAGATTATTGTTTGAATACATGCTTATTACTATTTCCAATAAACATCTAATTAAATCATACTACTAATATATTATCATTGAAGCTTTGATAGATTGATAATCAGTCATATTATTTGTCATGCTGCTTCTGTTTTGATAATGCATGATGTAAATAGTGTCATTTGACTTATCTGATAATGCAAGTATAGAATTTGCACTTTAACAAAATAGTAATTATAAGTGTTTAAGCTTTTCTTGTTTGTAAGATTGTAATATGCAAGAAAACTCCCATTCCCTGTTAGTCAAACATCCACATTTCCCTTTGTGTCCTGCAAGTCCCCCGAAGAAGCCATGCATCTGTTTGAAGAAGCTGTAAAGAAATTTCCAGACAATCCCTATGCTCGTTATGGTAAAGCAATGAGTCTGGACAAGATGGCAGAAGAACGTCGTAGTAATGCATTGTTGGAACAATCTATAAATGAATATGTAGGGATTCTGAATATGCCAAATGTATCTGATAAAGTATTTGTGGCAGCTGGAAGTAAAGGAACAGATCGAATGAGATTTAGAGGTAATCTCTTTTTAATAATTATTAAAAATTATATTTTAATAATTATTTTTATAATAATAATATATTGAATTATTAAATATTTAAATAAACATATTTCTATATCAGGATTCATTGGCAAAGCTATACAGGTACAAATGACCTTAGCTGATCGTTTTCCTGAAAATGCTGATATTATGAATCAACTAGCAGTAAATTATTTATTAATTGGCAAAGGACAAAATGCGAAGAAAGTATTGAAAGAGGTCAGTCTATCTTTTATGTAAATAAATTAAAAACATTAAAAAATAAATGAATAGATTTATTTTATATATTTCATTTCCTCAAATCCAAGATGTACAGTACCATGTATTTGATATCAAAATTTTAGAATTTTTTTTAATCGAGTGAGAGATTTTGTTTTATAAAATAAGATGGGGAAATAATACAAATACCATAAACAGATAATGTTTGTCAACTTTTACTTTTGTGTTCTTTTGCCTATAAACTAATTTTTCATAATAATATGCATTATAATAGCATCTTAAACATTAAAAAATAGTTTAAATTAAATGCTTGTAACCAAAAACATTTATTTGATCTAATATGACTGTTCAAAATAACAAAAAACATTAACGTTACATAATGTGTCATGCAGACTTCAGTAACTTTTGATTGTTTTGTAATATGAATATAGGAAGCTACAGATTCTAAGATACATCTCTATTTTGTACTATAAAGCTGAGACTCCACTACCATAAAAATGGCATAAAACCCCTTGCCGTAAAAACTTTTAATCACGTGACCCTGATATTTTATAAGAAGAATATAATAATAATACAATACTAACAATATATGTGGAGAAAATTTCAATGAATAAATTAGTGACGTTTGCACATGGCATTATTTATTGTCTCCACTTAATTGAAAAGTGATGTATCAAAAAGATTTGATTGCAATATTAGTGTTCAATCTGCCTTGCACCAATTCTGCTGAGGTCACTAGATTTATACCAGAAGCACCTTTATCTTGTCACATTGGATATTTCAACAGGATTCTGTTTTAATCTGTTGTAAGTTAAGTGTATCAAGAACAATTTATTTTTCCAAAGTTGTTCCTAACTCCTATCTCATTAAATATCTTTTTTATTGTGATAAGCATTATTTCAAGCACCATTGTAAATGTTTGGTGTATGGCATCACATTTAAAATATTTGCTTCATTAATCCTGTTTTTCCATTTATATTTTTTTACTTCCTGAATATTTTAGTATTCAGGAAATAATAGCATTCTAAAAGCTATTTTATTCTACAGCTTTTATTTTTTGACTTTTTTTCACATGTACTTGCATACATGTGAAAAAAGTCAAAAAATGTGAAAAAAAAATTTGATACATGTATGCAAGTACATGTATCAAATTTTTTTATATCATTTATTTATTTGTTATTTATTCTTTTTATTTATTTATAATGTAATTGTTTTTATCTAGGAGATCTTTTTATTTTTATAATTTCATGCTGTAATTTCTAGTCCACAAGGACTTCACTGATTGTATTTGAAAATAAATAAGATTGGTGTTGTGTGTTTGATAATATTTAAATAATTCTAAATTATTTGGAAGTGAATTAATCAGAATATAGAAGAAATGTGTAATTGAAATTATAAGAAATATAAACATTTTGTTATTGTTGCATCAAATTTTGGCATAAAACAATTCTTTAATGGTGTTTATCTATAAATTTATATTGATTTTACTGTTATATTTCTTAAATTGCTTAAATGCTAGAAATCTCTCATGTTTATTTAATAATAATTGTAACACCACTTCTTCTACTTCTTCTCATTTCACACTAAATATTTTTATTTAGTGTGAAATGTGCACACACTATTATGTTAATAATGCATTTCAAATTATTTAAATTTTCCTAAGGCTAAAAATGCAGTTAACTAGAACTTTTGATTTTTGTTGCATTCTTAGCAATGAAACAGCTTTCTCTAAATTCCTTCAAATTATAGATTTATCAGCTTAGTAAACTTTAGTCTGTCTGAGATACTCAAATATTAATGAATTATAACAAATAAAAAGTTAACTGTATTGCTTAATATAAACTAGAGAGTAGATTTATGAATGTCATGTAAGATGTGATATAGTATTTTCTTCAGTATTTTACAGTTACCAGAAATTTATATCATCTTGCATCTTGTATTTACAAAATATAAGATGGTGTTTATGACAAAGAACAACTTGATAATGAGAATATGTCTGACATCATTAGTTGACCACTTTCCAATTGATGGCCTTGTATTATCAATTGGAAAGTGCTTTTTAGGGATGTGTTTTCAGAAGTTTTTTTTTACATACAGCAAGTTCTCACTTAATATTGTTGAGGAAAGATCAAGTACATTTGTAATCATTTATAATTATCATTGTCAAATGTTCTTTCTAAACAGTAAAATTGATTCTCTGAAGTAGGAAATAAATGTTGAAGATTGCAAACACATTCAAATTAAATAATATAAACAAGATATAATTTGCTTATTATCAATTAGCCTGTGATAGAATTGGTTTCATTATACATCATTTTCACTTAATGTTTGTTTCTAAAACCTTATCAACGATGTTAAGAGAGGACTTGACATATTTGCAATATCTTAGAACAAGTAGCCAAATTTTATTTTATTACCGTGTTTCGCCGAAAATAAGACATCCGCAGAAAATAAGACCTAGCACAGGTTTTGCTGAATTTCGAAATATAAGACCTCCCCCTGAAAGTAAGACCTAGCGAAGTTTTTTTTAGTCCTAACGGTCATGGACAGATGGTTGAAAGTGGCCATTGGCTTTTTGAAAGTACAGCCACTGATTCGTCAGCAGACAATTACGCCACACGGCATGATTTGCATAAGACTATGGCTTGGGAATCACAGATTTATATAATGTTATGGCTTGTGATGGCTAATTGGTCGGCCGGGAATCACACCACATGACATTTGCATAGTGCTACAGTTCAGTAAGCACTAATTGGTCGAGTCCGATGTTGACGCTATAAAAACGCGACAGTTCGACACACCGGATATACGTCACTCTCGTCTAAGTTCGACTTGGGAATTTTTTTGTTCAATAATAAATGTGAATTCTTCT